GAAGGAAAAGTTTGGTGAACTGTTTGACATGCGCGACGTAACAATCGCCAGTTTTTGGGCAGTTAACATATATCAACGCATGGTATGCTGCGAAAACCGTCAGATATTGTTATGAATCCCATACCGAAACTTGTCGATGAATGTCGTGTATCGTAATGCCGGATTTTTGACCTATGTTTGCCTGCTGTGCGTAGTCCTTGCATCAGTTTTGCACAAAAGTTTTGTGATTTATCTTACTTATCAATTTTTACCACAACAATAACAATACCTTGACAACTAATTCACGGCAATTTAAATTTATTGTTTATTTTTGGATGACCTCATTTCTAGTTACAAATAACAAACACTGTTAGTGGTGCTGCTGTGTTTATTTTGTTATGGAACCCGTTTTTTTATTTTGTTTGGTGATTACCTCATAAAGAAATTTGCTTCTTGTGACATCAGTATCAATGGGTATCGGCAGCCACGGGGCCGTGGCCGAGGCCGCCTGCCACGCCCCACCCGACCAGCAGCTGTAAGGTGTCTGTTTCAGGAGGCATCTGGGTGAGCAACCCCTGGGGCTGGTTGGTGACATGTTCACTTCTACTTAGCTTTTCACACAGTGGTCTGATTTTCCGGTCTTACATTTCTGTACCATTGGTGCACATGCGGTTTATTTGTATCTGTAGGTCCTATTTGTTTAATATGCACATGCTGTCACCGCATTTATCAGTTTCTTGAGTTTTGGGAGATGCTGATGCATTTACACAAAGAATAACTTTGTGTAAAACAGTTGTGCGCATTGGTTATGCTGTTTGGGTGGTGGCTTCACTTTAGCAGATGATTGCATGACACATGTCATGTGAACATAACTTTAATCAGTCATGATGCTTTCTCACAGAATCTAGCCTAGCCGTGATTAAAACTTCTGCAAGTTGAACTAGGGAGTGTGCAGTTGTGTTGTGTGGGTGTGTGTATGTCAGCGTACAAAATCATGCTTAATTTCAATTGGCCCAACTTTCCCATATCAATGTAAAAATATAGGACAATGTCAACATATGCTGCATAGTGGTCTCCTTACATTTGCATTGTCATTATGATCATGTCATGCCCCACAGGGCCAGAGCAGTTGAGGGGGCAGCCTCGGCTCAAACCTCTCGTGCTAGGGTAACAATATTTTATGCATCTCCTGAATTTGGGTATGTCATCAGAAAAATTAATAATGGCTTCACAAAGTCACGGTATCAAGACCACCTGCCTTCAGTGCATACATGTGTGCTTGGTCTGCATGGTCAGGCTAACTGGGCAAGTAATTAAACAAGTAATATGACTGCCCCCGTATGATAACCATCCCATGTTTTGCTACACACACAATGTACTATAAAGCAAAATGTTAGATGTTATGGTCAGTAATTAATGCTAGAATTGGTGTCTTCTTTGCCTTGAAAAAAATTGTGTCTTCCTCACCGTTTTAGGCAGTATGTTTCACTGTTAAAGCGATGTTGAACATCCTGTTAAGTATATGCATGCCATGCTGTGTAGTCATCCTAACTTCCATCAGGAACTGGTGGCGGAGTTGGCCAACGAACATCAGGCCAAGAAGGTCCTCTGTGACCTTCTCACCCGCTACCCTTCTCTGACATGGGAGGTGCGAGCCTCCTCACTGCCCAGTGCCCACCCCGGAGCGTCGCCTGGAATAGATGCAAGCACCTGAGTGGTGCACCTGCACAAGGTGTGTATTATGATGATTGACCACATGGCATGTTAAGGCATATTCTTAACTGTAAATGTATTGTGTGTCTGTATGTGTCCCCGTTGAGCTCTTCTTCTGGCCTATATATGACATGTTCCGACCAAAAGAGGCCACTGTTGAGTGTGTTAAGGGGCATTCTGATCTGCAGAAGGCATATTATTAACTGTGGAGGCCTCATTTCCGCCTGTAGAAACCTTTTCTGATCTGTTCATGGCTCACCGGCTGTGGAGGGCCTGTGCTGGCCTGTATGGTCTACACTGGTCTATGAAGTGTCAATTTGTCCGTCAAGTCCGTCCGGTGATCCACTCCGGCTTGTGACGGCCGGGGGGTGCACGCGTGCGTCGGACCGGTGCCCGTCTGACGGTCGCTCCCGCCGGCAGCTGCTGTACGACGTGGCCGCGCCGGACAACCTGATCCGACTAAGCACCAAAGAGAAGGAGCAGGGCAGTGCTCCTGCAGGCACGGCGGCCGGGCATGACGTCCGAACTGCAGCGGCCGGCGCCAGGTCCTGCCGTCTCCGCCCTCCCACACCGACCACCGTGTGATGTGACCGAACATTGTGAGCGCCGTCTGTGGCGCGCGGGTGACCGGCGCGGGCTGGCCTGACGGCGTCGGCGTCCCCCGGCAGGGTATGATGGAGTACCGGGGCCACGCGGCGGCTGCGGACCGGCGCGGCATGGCGCTGGGCTGCTCGTCGGGCGGCACGCGCCGCGTCGGCCAGCGCTCCATATCCAGGCTGGTGCTGCCGGCTACGCGCGAGAGCCAGGGCACCGAGCTACTGATGGCCGGTGGCGACCGGCCCGGCAGGTGAGCGGGCCACGGGCAGGGGTCACGCACGGGTCAGGTCAGCGGGGCAAGGGAGGACGGAGGTCAGGTCAGTAGACAGAGACAGGAGCAGCGGCGGGCGGATGTTAAGCCGAAGCAGAAGCCACGTCGCATGGGTGTAGGTAGCGAGAGCGGGACGTTGACGGCGGCGTCCACTCCTACGGTGGCGGCAGTGCGTCGGCCGCCGCCGCGCTCTGGCCCTGAAACCTCTGTGTCGAGAGGCTCGAACGGTTACACGCCGCCGTCGCCGATGGCAGTACGCTGCCGGTGAAGCCACTTCCCAAACGGCAACGCTCGGCCCGATATGTTGGCGTCGGTGCCCGGCCGACGCCGTGCTTACCCGCACCCTCTGCCTCCGCTGCCGACGCCAGGAAGGACACGCACAACTACCACGAGCAGCTGCACATCGTGCCGTTCAAGATGCTGACGCGCCTGGTGACCCCGGATGAGAGCGCCGCCGGCGACCCGGCCAACGGCGAGGGCCCCATGAAGGTGGACGAGCAGTACATGCCGGTCAGCCCGCGGTTGGCGCAGACGGCGCGGGACAAGCTCGCCAGGTGAGGCCCCGGCTCGGACGCCCGAGCTCTGGCAGAGTATTGCGGGCCGTGCGCTGTGGCTGGTGTTGTCAGCTGTCCGGGGCTGCGGAGGGGGCGTGTCTGGGCCGGCTGGCGGAGACTTGCTGTCTCCTGCTGTACTCACTGAGAGTCGAGGACGAGCCGCGTCACTCGTGTCGCGTCTCGCGCAGACCGCACACTCGCCTATTTTGGAGTGGGTCATGCCGGGCTGTAGGCCTCTGTCAGTTGTTGCGTGACAGCAATGAACAGCGGTGTAGTTTCGCAAAACGGGTTGGGGGATAGTCAATGAAAAATAACGCATCCCCCTAAAATGTGCCAACGAACAGGGTTTTCCTTGGATTTTGCTACCTCTCTGCTGTCGGAGGAGGCGCCGGACGCGGCGGCCGTGCTGGAGCGGCCGCGAGCCGAGGGTGCCCTCACCGATCGGGACGCCTCGCACGTGAAGCAGCTTATCTCGATACTAGAGGACGCCGGCGAGCTGGGCATGGAGCCGGCGCAGCTGCTGGTGCAGAGTCGTGCAGACCGGTGCAGAGTCGTGCCCGAGTCCGAGGTGTACCAGACCCCTCTCTAACCCCCGTTCCGTCTCGACTGACGGTGTAAGATCCGTGACTGTAGTGCGCGCACGGGCGCCGGGCCCTCTGACGCACCGCTGCGCCGCCCGGGCAGGAGGAGAGCAGCCTGGCACGGCCCGAGCTGCGGCGTCTGGTGGCGCTGACGATGCAGCACGAGCTGCTGCTGCGCGGCGGCGTCACGCGCCCGCTGTACGTGACCCGCTCGCTCGGCCAGCGCTGGGTGCTGTACTCGTACCACCTGACGCGCCGGCAGCAGGAGTCGGCCGCCAGCAGCCTGGCCGCCGTCGGCGGCGACCTAGCCTCTTCTAGCCGCAAGTAGGTGGAGTCTTGTGTGCTGCGGTGGTGGCTGCTCCCCGTGGAGGACACGGTGTGGTTTGTCGCGTGGGCTGTCAGGTGCTGTGAATACGTGCCATATGGTTCCCGTTCTGGCGTTTACACGTTCTGAGGCAGCTCCGGCATGTCTCTGCCAAAGAGGTAGTGGTGGTGAGCTCGCTGGTGTCAGGCTGATAGCGTCTAAAAATTGGATGTTTGGCACATCCGTGCGAGATTTGTTCGAAGTTTGTTTTCTAACTCAACTTCATTAGAATTTATGATGTCATGTATGGCGTTAGAAATGTAACGGGACTTGATGGAGTGAAGTGATGAAGCATGGTATAATTATCCAATCTTTCATCCACATTCGTCAAAAATGGTTTAGAACCTTTGTTATGGGAATCCAAACAATGGGATGAACATGATTGGCGGTGAATAGCGAAGCTCCCCCGCCTGTGTCCGTTCCGCTTACGAGGAGGCATGTAGGATTGCTTTTCGAGTGTGGGGATTGCTATAGAACGCGCCGCACACGTTGCTGGGGAGTGCAAAAACTGTCGAAGCCAACATTGTAAGGAAACGTGATATTTGAACGCAGTTGTCAGCGTTAGCACTGAGTCCATTTCCGCTTCGCTACGTATCCAAGGTTAGCGAGTGCTTACGAGTGTTTCAGCGCCATATGGCTGCCCTCTGACGCCGCCCCGTCTGGGCCCAGCAAGGACATGCAGCCGGTGTTCTTCCAGACTGCGCCGTGGCGACGCGTCGGCGGCTCTGTGAATCGGCGCGTGCTGGACCGGCTCTCCGGCGCTGTGCTCAGCCACTGCATGACGTGGCCGGCCTGCCCGCTCGCCGCCGCCCAGAGCCACTTCCACCTCACGCTGACGGTAGTGCAGACGCGCCAACTGCTGGAGGTTCGTGCGGCCTTGCTGTCGCTCCGCGGGTCGTCTGCCTCCACCCCGACCCCCGGCTCTCAGCAACCTGCGCAGCCTAGGCGCGGCCGGTCCTCCGTCGCTGGAGGCGCGGTCGCGCAGTGTGCTACGTGTCAAGCGTGCACCTCACGCGGTAGGCGGGGAAGGCTGCCGTCTGAGCAATGTCTGTTCTCCATCCAGCGGCGCTAGGGCGCGGCCATCCGTCTAGGAGCAACCAGGCTTTCCGGCTCATGCTTACCGTGTGTTCGTCGCCCCAGACCGGGCCGTCGGGTTCATTGCTTCTCAATCTACCCGCCTTGCCACCGTCGGTGCAGCGCCGGCGCGCCCAGCTGCCTCGCGCACGACCGTGCCGCGCCATTAACCCCCTCCCCCTCCTCCAGACCCTGGAAGAGGTGGGGTGCGCCGCCCTGACCGAGAGCAGACAGGTGTCCCGCGCCACGCTCTTCTCCAAGCGCCCCGATCTCGCCTGGTTCAAAGGTGAGACCCGCGCGCCGCCACGTCACGCCTTGCGGCGGGTGGAATACCGTACTCCTGGGCTCGTCGGATCTTGGTGTAGAAATTGGATGTCGCTCGCCGGGCTGGATTGTGCTGGAGGACCCTAAATAAGCCACCAGTGTTTCTAAACGCTGCCGCCTGCGTAAATGGACGCAGTTGACGCATCAGCGTCATGCCTGGCGCCTCTGTCGTCGCCATTGGAGCTTAACGACGCACTCGACGACACACTGCTGCTGAGACCGTATGAGGTCGCTTGCCCCTCACCCTGGCAGGAAGGCACCCATTTTCTCCCCTCCCCCTCCCCCCCCCCCCCCCCCGCTTGGATGTCGCTTGACGCGTACGAGCCGCCGGCGGCACCGCCGAAGTCGGCGCTGCCGGCGTCGCGCTGCAGGACGTCGGGCACCTCCTGCTCGGCGCCGGCCAGGATCTTCACCAGGTCGGCGGCCAGCGCGCTGTCGTAGAAGCCGATGGCGCTGCCGGTATTGCCCGCGCGGCCCGTGCGGCCGATCCGGTGTACGTAGTCGTCGATGGCCCTCGGCAGGTCGTAATTGACCACGCTGGCCACGCCCTTGATCTCTGGGGGAGGGACGTCGGTTAGCCGGGGCTGCGCCGCGTCATGCGGATGCAGTGGGAAAGGTATCCGGCATGTCGCAACAGTCTATTTAACATAACCAACAAAATAACAAACTACTACCAACGAATTAATCTCTGGTAAGCGTTGTGCTAATGCAAACTGGATCGGGTTTACTGTTGGATCGGGGACTTTGCTTACCGCTGCTTGCTTTCGTTCCGATCTTTTCTGACATTAATATGGATTAACTCCCAACGCAGGTACAATAATTGCTCAGGGGAGGGCACAACAGTTCGACCTCTGTTTGATGAAAATCTCGACGACGCCTGATCACGACGCGCCACACAACACGCCTGGCGTCCAACCACGCAGCGTTCGCTTTCGGCCACAAGTGCACAAGCCCCGCCGACAAGGACGGCCCCAGGGCGGCGGCCACACTCACCGTGGCCGCGCGAGGCCACCGACGTGGCGATCAGCGTCGGCGTCTTGCCGTACTTGAAGTCAGCCAGCGCCTCCTCGCGCTCGGGCCGCAGCCGGTCGCCGTGGATGCTGGTGGTCAGGAAGCCGGCCTGACACAGGTGCGACGCGATGAAGTCGGCCACCCGCTTCGCCTCCACGAACACCTGGCGGGGAGGGGCAGGCGAGGTCAGACGGCGGCACGGTCACGCGGCGGTCGTGGCCTCACGGCTGAGGGTCACCCATGGACCCGGTCCAGGTCGCGCTCGGTGCAGCGAAAGATAACGAGCGGTGGAAACATCACGGTTCGACTAGGCTTTAGCCCAAGGCTTCAGCTTATGAAGGTCATATGCACTATTAGAGGAGGCTGACCACAATCCGCGAATAAATTTACTGAGCCTTAATGACAAGCTGAATACCCATCACTGCCGTTAACTAGCATTGGCGCTGGCTTGAAATCAACAGTGTTGAAGTTGTTTTGGTCTCACTTGCAGGATCTTAGCTCGGCTCGTGCATTACCTCACGACAGCGACGCGCGCACGCGCGAGCGACAGGATTACCACTGCCCCGCGAGTTCGGGCACGAGTCAGCTGGTGATCCGTCAACTGATCTGACGGGTCACATGACCCGGCGCCGGGAGACCTATATCCCAACAGAAAATGCTACAGTTGCGATCAATTTTTCTTAATAAAGAAAAAGACATGCACATCATTAGAATACACTACTTACATCGGCGAATGAAACGTCCGTGATGTACTCGGCATGGCCAAGTGCGCAGCGTCACCAGTGTCGCCATCGCCACCCACATTGTCGCCTCCGGCTTGCTCCCTATCGCCATCGCCACCACCAGGTTCCCTCAGGTACCTGTAGTGAAATGAAGCACTGCTTAAAAACGCAAAACAGGGGAACCACAGGATGAACATGACTGAAAGCTGCGGATTTATTTTGCACTCGCGACAATCATGCGGATGGCAAACTCCATTCACAGGCTCGGAATTAATTGCTGACGTCTAATTTAATTCACACGTCCAGTAAGGTAGTAAGGTGCAGCATGTTTGGAACAACTCACACCGTACTATAAAGATCTTTGAGATACGAGAAAATTTGCATAGAAAATGGGTGATAACCTCTTCCTTATAGGCTTAGGCACCTTTGCAAAACAATCATAGCCAAGTGCAGTACATACAAGCACTGCCACTGAAGCTGTGTGCACGCTGCACGGTACAAGGTTGTGTAGTCGAAACAGCACTCTGCTGCCTGAACAAACAAATGGTTACCCTTTAGCAAGGTGCAGGATGGTACGCTTGACTGTTGGTAGGCCGGCCTTTCGCATCGCACGTCGCAGGATCATGTGCGTACTGCTGGATATCACCAGCTTCTTGCTTGTTGCCGATCGTCTGAAACATAACACACTGTGAAATGGAAATTGCAATAGACTACAGATGTGGAGTAAATACCTATGACGATGACTGCAAAAAGTAAGGTGGGGACTTACTGGTAACTTTGCTCTGGCTTTGGACCGTAGGAGCAAACAAGCTGCATTAATGTTTTATACAGCATTGTCCATACAATACTACATGCCAATGTGCAATTTCACTAATTAGACAGATTTCAGGCTGCTAGTCCCTTTAGTCATCAAGGTGTTTCATGTAGTCCTGTAAGTCCCTGTACGTCTTACAAGTTCCTTGTGTTTGGCATGATATGATCATTATAAGACAATGTCTAAATAATCATTATTGCAAATGTAACCATCTGTACGTCATTAATGCAGTTTGTACTATAATTTTTGTAACACAAGTTTCAATCTTCTTGTTCAAAAGTAAACTAATTTTCCACATCCAACCCCCCCCAAAAAAAAACACTCTGACCCGGATTCTGGTCTTCGAGATGGTGTAGACACAGGAAGCACTGGGGTGCCTGGAACACCTTCCCTGTGCTGAAACAATTCAGGCATCAATGATCAGTATCAGAAAGATTAACAATGAACAAAGCTGTCACACAATGTACAGGTTGTAGGACAGCACTGTGGCATGTGCGACAAGTATAACACAAAACGATGTTTTGCTTGCATCATATAAATGTTGATGTCAGAAATGACTGCAGCACACTGAAATGCATGAATGAATAATGACTGAACGCAGACATGGAAATGAATGAGACAAAAGGTGATCACAGAAACGCCATGTGTGTTCTAATGTTGACTAACTTCAAGCCTGAATGCTAAGGCTAAATATGAAGTGTCTGACAAAAAGAAATAAAGAAAACCTAGGCATTCACAAACCTGCAGAGAGGGCACAGCATCGGCCCCAGGCTTATTCCTTTTGGCTGCCAGGCAGGAAAAGGCATATGATGGAGAATGTACCTGATGCACTCTATGCCCCGTCTTGAGAACACTGATACCACATGCATCAAGCCATTTCTGTTGGTGACCTTGTTGAACTGGGAATCTGAAAAGACCACAATAATTGGGAAATTTGATTACTATACAATACAATGGACATCTTGCACTTCAAATGAGTCATGCAAATTGAAAATCTCTGCCCTCAGTGTGTGCGTTAATCCTTGTGCTAAGTGGTGATTCATCAGGAGTACATCTGAGATGCAAAATGTCCGACTCATTTTAAAATGCCAGTCATCCCAAAGATAAGTAATACAAGCTGAGGCCATGCACCCTTGAACTTTGCAAACTGTGAGTATGGTGCATAGCTGTCACCAAATCTAGTTAATAGTAAGTAAATTTAGTATTTTAAAATAGTGGCAGCAGCATGGCAATACCCAAACAATGTCATTGCTGGAATATGACAGCTCGGAGCTCAGCCCAGTGCAAATCTTATTACAGCACATAGAGTTCAGTGCGAAGATGAGCACAATGATGATTCCTGTAATCTGGAACAATGGAATAGTTTTTGACTGATATCCATGATCCTGGCCTGACTGACAAAATCCACACTGTTCATGCAAGTTTATGCAAGTTTATGCAAGTCATCTGTTTTTGAAGTGGTTACATCAAATAGCCAAGGTGTAGCCCCATGATGGTAGTGAGATAGGTAGGAGATGGAAACAAAAGCGATGGCGATGATGATTATTTGGGCTTAAGGGCGCACCAACTACATTGGTCTTGTGGTGCCCATAACCTAGTGATGGAAACAAGTAAAAGTATTCGAACTTACTCAAAAATGTTATAAAAAGCTACTTGCCAATGTGCCATACAATGTCCTCCACCAACATGCCATACTTGACCCTAGTCAATTACTCTCAAAATTAATATTTTGCATATTTTTGCAGCAATAAAGTACACAAACAAAACTATTTCTGAAATTGGTGGCAACCGTAAGACCAGCTCCTAGCACTTGCCCCCGGCCCGGTCCCGGTCGGCCAAGACAACGTCATATGGCTTAACTAAGCCTATCAGACCGCTGACCAGGGTGATGGCTTTGTCGGTTGCTCATCCGCCCCAAGCCTCTGATAAGAATGTCACTGCGCCCGATGGTGATATGCCTAGAAGAAATTTTATGGTGCTATGGCTCTTATAATTACTCCACATTTTGGCCCTTGCGACAAGTGATTGTGGCCTTTCAGTGAAAAGTTCAAAGCAATCCACAACAACCCTAGTTTTTCTAAGCTCTGTCCCTGCCAGACGAAAGCAGGATGGAAGGTTTGCTCGCACAGCTTCTTTTGTTGGCCAAATTATGAACTGTTTTGCAACACTGGCTAGGATGGGTAGACGTGTTGACAAGATCGTCCCTATGTACATCAGGTTGACATTTAGCCTGTACGCAATGTCTTTACTGTTTAAACCTAGCTTGAGTTAAGTAATACAGCCAGAAACGTGGATTCAGCTGATAAGCCACGAAACTTACTGAGGCCAGAGACGTGCATGATGCGTAAAAGGAACAGAAATGCTGCAAGAGATGGGACACCAGTATAAAACTTAAGCTTCTCCTCATTTCCATGCAGTTCATCAAATGGGTCTACTTTACATGATTTCTTCAGCTCCTCATTCTCTGCTTTGAGAGCAGCATTTTCTTCAGTCAGACGTTCATTGGCGTCCCGGAACATGTCGATGATGATTCTCAGGCGCTTCACATCTTCTGTTACCACAGAACAGCCACCATCTGTATTTGTACTTGCATCTGTGAATCACAAAATAATGTGTGCCTCAGTGCCTGAAGCTCCACAGACAAGAGCGTGCAGCATCTGTAGGCACACTGACCTAGTAGCTGTTGGTAAACATGGTTATCTTACACATAAGTCATCACTTTCAATTTTTGAGTCTACTGGTGTGCAGGGTTTGTGACTGTTTGTGCTTGTGAGGACATTGCAATACTGAGAATATCTGGGACAAAGTCACAAATGATGGAAATGGTTCATATTCCTTGTAAACCTGATGAGTACTATATCTATTTGGTATAAATATGGTTTGGATCACATCTTCAAGCGCACAACATTGTCCCAAAATGGTTAAGCACATAGTATTCCATAGAGCACTGAGCAAGGGCTTAAGCTGCAGTAAGACAAACATTTGGACCTACCAGTGACAGAGACCTAAGTGAACAGCCTACACAGAGCATAGGTACAGAAACAAGATGAAAGGGCTTTGTTTAAATACTACATATGATCAAACTGACCTCTTCTATGAATATTCATATTTACCTGTAAGAACACTATCAGTGTAATTGGTATTGCAGAACCCGATACATCCAACAGCAAACATCATGAGTTGTTCACCATTACCTCGCATGGACACATGGATTTTTGCTGTTGGCAGTTGGGCTTGAGTCTGTGACCCTTCAGCACTTTCACCATCTGGAACTATTTCACTGAAGTTGAATGTGTCTTCCACTTGCTCACACTTCCCAGCACCTTGTGTTGTTTCAATTAGGGAATCAACTAACACACAGTCAGTGAGGGCGGACCTCTGGGAAATCTTTTGTGCCCTACGGTATCTTCGAAGGTCTTTCTGTGGGTCGCCAACAGACATATGACTCGCAGGGAATTCAAATTTGGATGGCACATAGTCTGGATGCTGCTTGTCCCACCACCTGGCAGGACATCCTGAAAACAAAAATGCAAGTGTTAGTATTAACAAGTACGGTATTGCAATCAATTATCAAATAGTTGTGGGTAAAAGAGTTAGTATATCAAGTTTAAACATGAGACCATAACCAACTTAATGTCATATATAAAGTTATCCACCAAAACGGTAACAGTTATGTTGATGTGACACGTGTTTTCCCGGTAGCCAAAACTATAAACCTTAGGAGATAGGTATGACATTATAGTGACATCACGCAGTGATTTTACCAGTAAAACTATGAACTAGTCCTAAGGAAACCCAAGTCTCCTTGGACAATCTTTTTTAGGCTGCAGCAGTGAAAACTACTGCAAACATTGCAGCTAAAACTTAACCAGTCTGTGTGTAATCCACGGCAACTAAGACCATTTCAGTTTACCAGTTTGGACAATTCAAAAGATAGAACCTTGACCTGTGTCATACGTCCAAGACACGAAATGTGTAGAACATATCTTAGCGTCCTTGTACGGCTCCCCTTTCCTTCGGATCGCCGCCAGCCAAAGCCTTCTCCGCTCCTGATCGCGCTGGGAGGTAGGAATGCAGAAGAATCTTAATTCCTCACAATCTTCCTTAATGCTATTACTGGTGCAACCAAAAGCATAGCAAGATGGCATGACTTCAGGCCAAGAAACCAGATAACCCCGGCTCTAACAGTCCTTTGCCACGCTAGCTCTAACGGATTTCTCAAGCCCTTCGAATTCGGATTTCTATGGCCTTGGGCTCTAACCAAGGCATAAAAACACTGTTGAGACGGGGTTATATTGTGGCGCATCACCCCATTCGGGATTGTCGCATTTGATGACGTTACCAATGGCGAAATGTAAGCACTTCTATTCAGCTGACGCGTGCATCTGCTTTTTAAATACTTTGTTTTATTTTCGAAAGCATTTTTGCTGGCGTGTTTGAAGGCATTTTTGCCATTTTTGCGGGGCGCGTCCGGCCGGCAGATATTCTCGCAAAATTATCCGGAATATTGGAAATTTTTCGGAATGACGTTTGGCAGTGCCGTCACGAAAAATTGACCGATAATTATCCGTAGCGACGGAGAACCCCGGAGAATTTTCAGAGCATAGTCAAGACGAAGGATCTGTTTTCGCCATGCATAGCTATGACTGTTGGCTGCGAATGGCGTATGGGAGACTAATCTGGGGGATAATTTCAGGACCGGTCGAGTGTAAATGGAAAATCTCCATGGATGACTATCGAAGAGATAAGCATTCGTTGAATAATTTTCTCTCGGCCGAACACGCCCGTGATTGCATACTCATTCCTCAAACTGACAACAATGGAAAGTGGCCGTACACCATACTCGAGGCTGCACGCCATATTGAGACGTGCATACCCTGAACTTATTGCTGAGATGTCAGTGATACGCCGGACATATTCGGCGTGAAGTGTTTTTGGGATTCTTCAAGTACTTCACCTTTTTTAGAAGAAGAAAAATATCCACCGCGAGCGTTTTGAGCGCAGTACGAAACGGGCACAACCAGCTCGCGTTAGCAGAATTGCCCAACTTTGAAATCATACAACCCAAACAACATCTTTAGCACCAAAAATAATGAGTAGGCAACTAGCATGATTTGCTTTGTCGTTTCGGCCATTGCTACTCACAATGCTCGCATGAGCGCCTATCATCTTCAAGAAATTGCTATCTGGCACCATCATAATTTCGGCAAGAAACCAGTAATGTGATTTTAGCACGCAGGCAGGGGACGATTTATAACACGCACTAAAAGGGCAACATAAGCACCAAATCACGGGACACTAGAAACCAAGAATGGTATCCCAGTTCTGCACATTCGTGTCTCGAATTATCTGTTGGTGCGCCGAGCCTTCG